CATCCAGAGGCATTGCTGTTCCATTGAGCATCCACTGAAGACCTGTATTAGAGCCCAGACACTAAGCCTGTAGAAGCAAGAAGGAATCTTCAGGTAAGTATAACGTTCATGTCTTGAGCAGGAACATGACAGACAGTCTGGAACATGCCAGAAGCAATGATGATTGGCAAGGATATATCAATAGGACCTGAGGGCCAGCTTGAAGGGATTCTTTCTAGCCATGGTTAAGACAATTTGATAATACAAGGAAAGAAGGACAGTGATAGCACTTAGAACACTGAATCAAAACCTGGTTTATGAACTAGTGAGAATCATAGACTCAAAGAAGAGGACAAAAGTAAACCTCTTCTGTGAAAAAAAAACTTTAATCAGGAAGTGTAGAGAAGATGGCAGATTCTCAAGCACCAATTTAGATAAGGATTATGAAGAAAGTACTAAAAATCATTGTGTGAATACTTGATTTTTGACAAAGAAGCCAAAACCATTCAATGGAAAAAAGACAGCATCTTCAACAAATGGTGCTGGTCCAACTGGATGTCTATGTGCAGAAAAATGAAAATAGAACCATATGTATCACCCTGCACAAAACTAAAGTCCAAGTGGATCAAAATCCTCAACCTACAACCAAACACTAAATCGGTTAGAAGAAAAAGTGGGGAAGAGCCTAGAGCTCATTGGCACAGGCGACAACTTCCTGAACAGAACACCAACAGCACAGGCTCTAAGAGCAACAATCAATAAATGGGGCCTCATGAAACTGAAAAGCTTCTGTAAAGCAAAGGACACCGTCATCAAAACAAAACGACAGCTTACAGACTGGGAAAGGATCTTCACCTACCCTGTATCTGACAGAGGGCTAATATCCAGAATATATAAAGAACTAAAGAAATTAAAAAGGAACAAATCAAGTAGTCCAAGTAAAAAATGGGTACAGAGTTAAACAGAGAACTCTCTGTAGAGGAATATAGAATGGCAGAGAAACACTTAAAGAAATGCTCAACATCCTTAGCCATCAGGGACATATCCAAAAGAGGCTCAAGCACACAAAACGACATTTGTTCAACCATGTTTGTAGCAGCTCTATTCATAATAACCCAACCTGGAAACAACTCAGATGCCCCTCAACGGAGGAGTGGATACAGAAATTGTGGTACATTTACACAATGGAATACTAGTCAGCAATGAAAAACAAGGAAATCATTAAATTTGCATGTAAATGGTGGCATCTAGAAAAGATCATCCTGAGTGAGATATCACAGAAGCAGAAAGACAGAAACAGTATATAGTCACTTATAAGTGGATGTTAGACCTATAAGATAGGATAAACATACTAAAATCTGTACACCTAAAAAAGCTAAGCAAGAAAAAGGACCCTGGGTAAGATGATCAATCATCACTTAGAAAGACAAATGGGGGGGGGCATTGGAAGTAGAAGAAAACAAGTAACAGTACAGGAGCCTATCACAGAGGGCCTCTGAAAGACTCTACCTACCAGTGTATCCAAAGCAGATGCTGAGACTCATAACCAAACCTTGGGCAGAGTGCAGAGAATCATATGAAAGAAGGGAGAGTTAGCATGACCTGGAGAGGACAAGAGCTCCACAAGGACCAAATATATCTGGGCATAGGGGTCTTTTCTGAGACTGTTTCTCCAAGCAAGGACTATACATGGATATAACCTGGAACCCCTGCTCGGATGTAGCCCATGACAGCTCATTATCTAAGTGGGTACCCTAGTAAGGGGAACAGGGACTGTCTCTGACATGAACTCAATGGCTGATTCTTTTACCTCAGACACCCCCGGAGGGAGGAGCAGCCTTGCTAGGCCACAGAGGAGGACATTGCAGCCAGTCCTGAAGAGACCTGGTAAGCTATGGTCAGATGGAAGGGGAGGAGGACCTCCCGTATCAGTGGACTCAGAGAGGGTCAGGGAGGAGATGAAGGAGGTAGGGTGGGATTGGGAGGGGATGAGGGAGGGGGCTACAGCTGGGATACAAAGTAAATAAATTGTAACTAATATAAAATAATTAAAAATTTAAAAAAGATCGGGGGTGATATATGACACTTACACCATCTCAAAGTGTCACAAAAGAGGAACGTTATCAAGAGGAAAACATATTTATGTGTTTATATATAGTGCATGTGATATATTATATTATAATTTAGATAATTATATTGTATATTATATACATTATAATATTATAATATAATATATATTTATGTTAAATATATATTTATAATGTGGCATTTCCATCTTACTTAACTACATGTGACATTAGCACAGAGGGGCTTCCTGAACTTACATGACCCTTGGCAAGATACAATGAGAAACACTCATGACTATCTATAAAAAGGAGCCAATGCTTTCTCCCTATATGAAGAAAGGAACCTGGCCCTTAACTACAGGGATTGTCCACAGCAGTCCTGATGCACACCTTAGTCCAAACTCCTCAAGGTCATGAGGCTGGAGGATGCCTTCAGCCAGGAGTTCAAGACTTGGTAACGTATCGAGACAATATGCCAACAAATGGAAACAAATATAAAACTGCCAAAGAATATCTACATCCCACTGAAACCTTCCAGCAGTTGCTGAGCTGTGGCCCCAGAAGAGCAACAGACTAAGGAAGGGTGTCTTGTATGCTGGTGTCTTTAATATGAAAATGTCCACACATCTCCCGAAGCAGGAATTGATGTTTTATTAATGATGTTTACTATAAATTTAATTTCAAAGCACTTCTGTTCCCACATTGTTTTGATAAAGGCTTTGTGGTTTATTTATTTTTCTCTTGCTGGTAAAAATGAGAAAGGGAGAGGACGAGGCGTAGCTTAAAGCCAGGACTTGGGAGGTAGAGGTCATTCTTCCCGTGCAGCTCAAAGGGGCTGAGTGAACAGTTGAGAGGGACTCCCCCTGGATTGCCCTCAGCTAGATCATGATGATTTGCCAACAAAATGCTCCTCCCTGTCAGCACTAGGGGATACCCTGGTGACAGTAATCACTAGCCACTCTGTGCCCAGCATCCTGCTTCTCCAGTCAGGTTTACTGCCAGTCCTTTAGGAGCCTCTGTACACTTTCTGCATCCACTGCAATGGTTGGTGAGAGGGTGGGGACATGACCCACAGCATCTGGGTGGTGGAATTGTTTGTACCAGAGGCTTTTTGTCAGGAGTGTGTGTGTATGCGTGTGTTTGTGTGTGTGTGTCTTCTTGCAAATGTAGTAGCTATGCATACTGAAAACTTATTGCTGGGTCTCAGGCCATTTTAAAAACTGCACCAACCCCTTCAAAATTGACAAGGTAGTATTAACAGCAAGTCTATTTTATAAGTAGGAAAACAAGTGTGCTAAGAGATTAAAGAGGGTGTCACAGGCATACTGGCCCAGAGGGTCTACCTTCTCAAATAGTGCTACTAACAGGGGCTCTGTAATTCTGAAACAATGGAACCAGACCTAGGGCAAACTTGTTCCCTGGCTTGGGACATCTGTGACACACAACTCTCCCTGGAGAGCTGTCCTTGAGCCTGCCAAGAAGTTGTAACATAACTTCCTCCGTTCTCCTGGTCTGTTTGATCCCCCTGCTCAAACTCTGCTCAATCACTTGCACACAAATCTACATTGAGTCAGATTCTAGATTCATAAACAGCCAAGCCACAAAGAAACCTAAAATACACATAAAGAGAAGTGTTCCTTAGGTATATCTTAGACAACACAAATTCTGTCCTACATCAGATTGCTGCTGTGTGGAGTTACATGCAAATTGTACTAGAAACAGCCGATAAATTTGAGGCAAGGGAAACTTATAGAGAAAGTAAAATTTAAGCAAAGTCTTGGAATAGCAATGCAAGAGTCTGTTCTGCAGACATGCAGGGAGATGCCAGTCTATACAGACGGAATGGCATTGGCAAGGAACAGAGAAGAAAGTAGCTATGTGTCCTATCACAAATGCTCCACGTACCAGCATCCTCTTGGTAAGAGGCTTGTCCGAAGATGCAGTGAAAGAATCAGACTCCATAGAGTTTTGTAGAGTGGAGCTGGAGAGGTGAGATGGGGTTGGGGGAGGTGGAGGGAAGAAATTCCTGGGTTGATTTTCTAGTATCTCTCTTGAGGCCTCAGATGTAGCTCATTGAAATGAAGAACACCAGAAATAAAGTCAGCATAGACAAGAACATTAGTTCATTTTGCAATACATGGTATTCGAGAGGCCTGTGGGACATCCAGGTAGATAATCAGCTTTGAGCTCATTCAGTGTGCATGCTAAGCCTTAAGCTATCCTATGTTTTCTTCATTTAATTTGTGCAGAATCAAGTTGTCTGACCTTCAATCTCAACATGTTTAAACAATAAGATTAATACCCTTTCCAGGAGGCACCTGAAGCGTTAAGTTTTGGGTAGAAAGAGTGACAGAACATGAGGGGAGCACGGGGAGGCGTAGGGTCATCATGGGCACACACATGTATATGGCTGAGCTGTCGCTGCTCATGGCAATATTACCACTACGGAATTGTACCATGCACCGTCTACAGGGTCCTTCTGTGGGGATCTTGAGAATAGTGGGGAGACTAAAGACAGAACAGAGGATGAGGGGTAGTATCAACCAGAAAAGTGCTTCCTATATAACACTGAGGACCTAGGTGCACCAGGAGCCAAATAAAACTAGGCATGGCAGAGCATGCCTGTATTCTGAGTGCTGTGAATGCCGAGACAGGAAGATCTTTGAGGCTTGATGTCTAGCCAGTTTATTCAAATCAGTGATCCCCAAATCCCAAAGAGAGACCGTGTCTCAAAAAGTCAGATGGAAAAAAGAAATAAGAGAAGACACTATCAACACTGACCTCTAGCCTCCATATGAATGCATACACATGTGTATACACATACAACACACACACACATCCTTGTACATACACACAAGAAGATGGACAAAAAAAGTGAAATCCTCATCACTTGCTGGCCTGAACCACGCCAGACTTGACCCTCTCCATTCCCATAAAGGGTCCTCCCTCACTCACCATCCTCCTCAGTCTGTACCACCAACTCCTCACTCTCCATCCGGCCCTCAGGGTTGGACAGCAAAAGCCGCAGTCTGATGGTCATGAAGGGCCGCAGACCCCGCAGGGTATAGTGGGAAGAGGTCTGGATCACCTCTTCGGCCTCATACTGTTGCTGGTTGAACACGTACTGGTACTGCACGGTGAGGTTGTAGCTGTGGCAGCGGGTCACTGCGTAGCCAAAGGGCTCCCACTGCAGGGTCAGCTGCCGGGCCCGGATGTCCACAATCTCCACATTCTGAGGGCCATGCACAGGATCTGTAAAATATACACAAAATACAAGAGCCTTGAGGAGACTATAGAAAGAGGGTGGGTCCGGTTGCTCTTCCACGTGCACCTCGATCTCCCCACGCTCCCCGTGACTTTTGCCACCTGCAGCACAATTTACAGGAAGACTTTCTTCAAGACAATTTTATTTTTCTTCTTATTGAAGCGCGTGTATCTAACACAAAACAAAATACACGGGGTGAAAATTTGTCATATGTCCTTCTTAATGAAATATGGCAACCATAAAAATATAAAAATTCTTAGCTAGATGATGGTGGTGCATGCCTTGAATCCCAGAACTCAGGAGGCAGAGGCCTAGAGGCAGAGGCAGATGGATCTCTGTGCGTTCAAAGCCAGCCTGATCTTCACAAAAAGTTCCAGAATAGCCAGGACTACACAGAGAAACCTGTCTCAATATACCAATAAATAAGTAAGTAAGTAAATAAGTAAATAAATAAATAAATGATAGATAGATAGAGATAGATAGATAGATAGATAGATAGATAGATAGATAGATAGATAGATAGATAGATAGACAGACAGTTAGATAAAAAAAATTCTTGGATTCTTATGACTTCATCAGAGTTCCACTGAGAACTATCCTGGGTGCTACAGATGGCACACATTTCTGAGATTCTCCTCTGGAGTTGTGTCCTGCCTTCTGTGCGTACCTCAGCTACAACCTCTCCCAATGGCATGGAAGTTCCTTCCTTTCCTCCTATCCTGATGCACAATCTGGAACTGTGGCTACATCAGGCATTTGACCTCCAATCCCTCTGTAGGACCACGATGCCCATGAACTTGGCCTCTGAAATCACCTCTCCACCTTCATGTATAATAGGGCATCCTATCCTTCAATAGCATCCTGCAACAGTTCACTCTTTTCGTTTTCCTCTCCACTTCCTCCATGAACATCATTCTACCACTCCACAGTACCCCAACAGTGCCCCTTCACCTCCCTTACTTACCAACCTTTGTCCCAGACCCCCATATGTAACAATGACCATGTCTTACTCATATGCTGTGCATTGACATATATACCTGGCATGAGGTAGGTGATCCTTGTACAAAACTGATGAAAGCAAACAAGAATAGTGATGCTAGAGATCTGATCATCATTAAACCCCATGCTTCTTACAGGACATTATCAAGTTATGTCATGTCTTTGAGTTCTACTTTTTACCTAATTTGTAAATCAGTGATAATACCAGCTAACCCCACTGCAGGAGAGGGCAGAACCAGATAAAATATCCTGAGCCATTAGAGTTGCACCTGGAACTTAATAATCACATCATATATAATAGCTGGGGGGGTATTTGTTTATAGCAATAGAAAGAGTAATAAGAATAATCATTGTCTTTCGTATGCTACACACAGCCTGAATGCCTTGTAAATGGCAGTTCTGGATAGAGTCATTACACAGTGTGACAGACTAGGAAAGTATCACTTCTTCAGTCCTTGAGTTCCCAGGGCTTTCAGGGTACAGCTGCCTTTACACCAAGGCAATGACAAGAATGGCTATGGGTGGGGACTACTGATGTCAGCGGAGTTCCCTGATTTGCCCCTATGAGGGAAGGGTAGCTTATAACAGAGCTTTGCTAAGGAACGCACTCCATAAGTGATGCAGAGACAAGGATGATCCATCCCCAAACTGTGCATGTGGCTTGAATCAGTAGCTCTGGCTTCTTCTCAACCGAGGAACTGACACCCATTCTTGTGGCCCAGTTATCCATGCTGCAGGATCCTTTGTGTGAAAGAGGGTCAGAGCCCCAAAGGCAAACTAGTGACTTTGTAAAGGTGATATTGGACAAGTTGCTCAGGGCCTATTTTGCTGAACTTAGGTGGAACAGAGGATAAAATGTGTGGTAGTCATAGTTAGGGGCTCACCAGGCAGGTTACTTAGGTGGATGTCTCAGGCTTCAGTAGATACAGGTGCATAGTCATAGCGATGGAGGGAACTACCTGCCTGGGAAAGGTTACCATCCTCTCTAAGCCTTTGTCCAGCAGCAGTTTTACCATCTGGACTCAGTTAAAGCTAAGGACACATTTTTGTTAAGCATCTTAAATACTTCAATATTCCATGTTGGAAATAATTTTTTTGAGATATCCAATATGGCCTAGAGGCACAAATAAAATACCATCAATGGAAGGGCATCTAGGAAGTGCTTCCTCTACTGCCAGAATCATGACCCTAGGAGAGAGGGACTGCCTCATTTGACAAATGAATAAATCAAGGCCTACAGAGGCTCAGGAGCTTGTGTAAAGCAACAAGTCTAACAAGTGACAAAATGAGGCTTTGAATTTGCATCGTTTTGACCTCATGTCTAGTATGCAAGGGGAGTAGAAAGAAGAACAGAACACAGCCCTTCAAGGGATGCCTGCTGGGCTTGATAAACCACACAACTCATGAGGAGGAACAGAAGACCCCACTCTAGAAAAACATGCAAAGTTCCGAGGGAAGAAATGATTGTCCTCAGGCCACACAATAGAGGCAGGGTTGAGATTCATAGCCTGGGACCATCACAAACCTTTGTCCTTCTCTACAGTGGCATCACTAGAATAGGAGGTCAGAATAGGAGCATACACATGCGGCAGGCCATGGCCATTGGGAATTTGGGAGAGACCTAGAAGAGTGTTATGGAAAAACAAAAATTATAACAAAGAAATTGCTTTGCCCTTAAGAACCTGGGACCTGCCACCAGAAGAGGAAATGCAGGGACTTCATGCTAAGTTGAAAGCTAGCCTCTTCCACTCCCATTCTCTGTTTTCACAACTAAACTGTACACATTCATTCCTCTCCTAGAGGTAGATTTATCCCAAGGCCTTCTTTCTTCTCCTTCTTCTTTTTGCTCGCTTTTTTTTTTAATGAATAAAAGGCATTTATTTATTTATTTATTTATTTATTTATTTATTTATCTACTTATTTACTTATTTATTACACTTCATTCACTTTGTATCCCAACTGTAGCCCCCTCCCTTGTCCCCTCCCAATCCCACCCCCTCTCCCACTTCTCCTCCCATGCCCCTCCCCCAGTCCACTTATAGGGGAGGTCCTCCTCCCCTTCCATCTGATCCTAGTCTATCAGGTCTCATCAGGAGTAGCTGCATTGACTTCCTCTGTGGCCTAGTAAGGCTGTATCCCCCTCAGGGGGAGGTGATCAAAGAACCAGTTACTAAGTTCATATCAGAGACAGTCCCTGTTCCCATTACTAGGGAATCCACTTGGACACTCTGCTGCCATGGGCTACATTTGTGTAGGGGTTCTAGGTTATCTCCATGAATGGTCCTTGGTTGGAGTATCAGTCTAAGAAAAGACTCCTTTGCCCAGATATTCTGGTTCTGTTGCTCTCCTTGTGGAGCTCCTGTCCCCTCCAGGTATTTCTATCTCCCCCTTTTTTCCTAAGATTCCCTGCACTCTGCCCAAAGTTTGGCTGAGTCTAAGCCTCTGCTTTGATACTCTGCAGGGTAGAGTCTTTCAGAGGCCCTCTGTGGTAGGCTCCTGTCCTGTTCCCTGTTTTCTCTCTCTTCTGATGTCCTTCCTGTTTGCCTTTCTGAATGAGGATTAGCCTTCCTTCTTTTTTCAGGGTATGAAGGAAGCTGGAAGCCTGTCACTCAGCAAATAACTTCCCTCCAATAGGAATATTGGGGGCACAGGCAAAGGCCCTGATTCTCCAAAGCATGCATGATTCAGTTGGAGCATGGCTTGAAGCCAGACTCTGGCACTCGATAGCTAAGTGACCTTGGCCAAGGGCACTTCATCCCTGTGCCTCCATCTCCTCAACTATAAAGTGGAAATTACTGCACTAATCTCAGAGGGCTGTTAATGAGCATAAAATGAACTGTAAAGAGAGAAAATTGCCTTTCACTAACAGTGGGGATGCCTCTTACACAGAACTGCCTTTCTTGGAGAAATTTCCTAAGAAGCCTTTAAAAGTTTTTGTCTTTATTCCTGAGAATTTTATTCACTTATAGAGTAAACTATAATATCTATTCCCACTTTCCCCTTCAACTTGTCCCAAGTTCCCGAAACACAGCATAACCCCTTCCAAACTTCATGTCTTCTTCTTGTTGTTGTTACTGTTTAGAACCCACGAAGTTCAGCCATTGCTACCCATTTGTACAGGAGTGTTTTAAGAATAGGAGCTGCATTCCCAGGGCTTACAGCCCTACTAAGCCTCTACGGGAAGATAAACACCAAGGGCTTGGTGGTGGTGGTTGTGGTGGTGGTGGTGGTGGTGGTGGTGAATAAAGTAGGAGAGGCAGGGAAGTAATTAAATAGTAGAATTTTGGGAGGACTCAGATATGACTGTCGCCCCCCATGTGACTCCTCGACCTTCAACACAGTCTTCAGAGATCACAAAAGTATTTACCACAATTGGACTCCAGACTGAGATGAGGCCTGCATCATATAAGACTTTGATCATATAAGTCTCTTCCAGGACCACAGAGACCAGGAAATGGTACTCAGAACACACCCATAAATTGCAGAGATCTTGGGAGATGATTTTCAAAGTTCCCAGGCTATGGAAATTAAGAGGTTCAAGGAAATCTCAGTTCAAATGTAATATGTTCGGTTGGGCCTCTAGTGGTCCTCTGGCTAATATACATGTATGTGAACATGTCTTGTGACTGTAGTAGCTCGCATTCTGGAAAGCAGAGGTGGTGACTAGACTCTTAGGTAGGATCTCTAGGCTAGGTAGTGCCCTTAGCATCTGCCTTTGGGAAGCAACCCTATGGAATATGTCACTAAAACTCCGTGAAAGGAATGTAGCCATATCTCCATGTGCCAACTGTCCATCATACTTAGCATTTTTCACACTGCCCAGCAATTGCTTGTTTATACATTTGTCTCCCAGATTGCCATGGGCTCTTTTCTGTTTGTCTAGCATCTCTGGGCTCTGTAAAGCGGACCTTCTATGAGATGACCAGATGGTGATTTGTTCTGGGAAAGCAAGCTCTGATCACTTGTTCCCACCCTCCCTCCTCCATTC